GGCTTGTTGGTGCTCTCTGCAAGGGTCCCATAGATTACTCACCTGTGGCCTTCCTGAATTCCACAGTATCTTTCTCAGGAACATGTGTGTTATGAGTGTTTTTTCCTGCCGCTCTGGTCCCAGAATCGCAGCAGCCCAAATAACACACAAAGACGCAGTAATAGATATAAAGCTGTTGGCCTGTTTCTAGCATTACTTATTGGCTAGCTCTGTCTTAAATATTAACCCATTTCTATTAATCTAATTATTTCCATGTGGTCTCATTTTACCGGAGAGAGGGCCCGGACCTCTCTTCTCTCAAGTCTCTACATGTTGACTACTCCCTACTACTTCCTCTAATCCTCCTTGTCACCTAATCCCACCTATTTTGCTTTCCTATTGGCCTAATGGTGCTTTATTCATTAACCAATAAGAGAAACATTTGTACAGAATACATCTCCCATCACATGTGCATGGTGAGATTTCCAAGTGTCTGCACCAATGCTGAAATCCCGGGACTGAGTTTACATAGCACAGGTCCTCAAATCTGTAAAGGCAGGAAAGGGGTTCTGATCTATTGCTGTGTATCCACCCTATGTGTTTTCTGCAGTAAAGGCCCAAACCATAGCACAGGAACATAATGCACTGGGAGAGAGTGAAACATTATTTATGATTTGTTAAAACTTGACTGAAGATTCAGAAATGCAAAGTTAGCCTCATGCTATACAGTTGAGCCAGTGGTGACACCTATGACAAGACCTTTCAGCCTGAGCTAGAGGTGAGAGCTAGTGACCAGCTGCTTTGCTAGGGTCTTTTAGTTTTCATGTTACAAGGGAGATCAGGCATAGGCCTGTCCTGACAGTCCAGTGCATCAAGTAGGATATCCACACCCAGCAGTAACGTGCTATAGAGAGTTACTTACTGTTTACAGGGAGTTTTACATCTATTATTTCCATCTCCAAATCTCTGTTTGAAGGTTCTAATGTATATAAACCTGCTTCAGGCTAAGTGCTGTCCTGCGGCAGGTGGGATTATTTTTGGTGTATAGTTTATCTCTCCATCTGTGTGTAGTCCCCCCAAGTGATGGAATTCATGGCTCTGCTGTTTTCTGAGATTTGAAACATGGGGGCAAACCACACTAATTTCTACCAGGAAAACATTCACAGATCTGGCTGGTTATGTAGTAGGAGAAGAACGTTTCCCCCGTTAGCAGCAGTCTGTGTTACTGGCTCTGTTGTGAGTAAGCCAGGGTTGAGAGGGTTGCAGTGATAATAAAAAGCCTTAGCCATCAGCCAATATTTTTATAATGAATATAGCCTTCTTGTGTTTATTTGTGGCTAAAGCAGCTGTGGGATCTGGTGGGAAAGAAAACTCCAGCAACAAAATGGCACCGACCCTTGGAACAAGATTTTCCACATAAAACCTGACAAAAACTTAAAAAGGGATTCTAAAAACAAAAGAAAAGAGGCAACCACAGCTTCTTGGTAGCAGCATTCTCTCAGGGAGGCTCTGTTTGCTAGACACAAGCAGAAGCTGGTGGCTACTTTAAGGGAGGCTTCCTGACTCAACATTAGCAACAAAAAGCACAAGGCTCTTTTAAGAGGCTCTGGTTCCAGACAATTAAATGGTGTTTATGAGAAGCTGGCAGCATGCTGCTTAATGGCTGTATAAACAAGAATCCAGTAACTAGCAGTAAACATACTCCCACCATGTTAGAAAGCCAGAAGCTAAATGTCCTCTTTAATCCTAGTAATACTGTTTAACAGATCCGTATGGTCAGAAAAAGATAGAGATATACAGTAAAGACAGATTCAGATCAGGAAGAGCCTCTAAAGGATTTACAGTGTGTTTAAAAATATATGAAGCCTTGGGAAAGAAAAGAAAAGGAATAAAGTGATTTAAAAAATAGAGTAGCCCAGGGTGGCACATACCTTGAATCCCAGCAATCCAGAGGCAGAGGCAGGTGGATTTCTATAATTTCAAAGCCAGCCTGGTGGACAGAGTGAACGCCAGGACAAGCAAAAATTACACAGAGAAACTGTCTCAGAAAACAAAAACCATAAAAGTAAAACAAAATAGAGTAATAAAAAGCCACTTAAAGAGGAAAAGTGCACAGAGTCAGGATACTGTATGTTATTGTGTTGGCTTTCGAGTGTTTGATTTCTGAGGAAGGAGCAAAAACTGCTAAAAGACATTTTATTTACATGCTGCTGGATTAATCCAACTTACATATTTTAAAAATGCTATGACTTCAAAATTTATGTCTAAGGATGGGTTGACTTGGAAAAGAAGTTCTGTTTTTGTTTACAAAGAAAATGAAAAGCTGTGGGTTCCTTCCAGACTAATATGGTTTGATGAAGCGAGATCCCCTGAAACAGTGGCCCAGGTGATCCAACTAACCAAAACAGCTGAAATGATGCAGCCTCATAGTCTACTACAGCCTGGATTTCGACAGGTTTCTGCGTTTTCTCAGGATCTCCATGGCATTATCAGTGCCCCCCCCAAAACACCAGGAAGCAGTTTGGAAATAATGACACCCAAATTCCCAAGTATTATTTATAAACATTGTATTCATTTAAACAGAGTTGATTATAAATGGTTAATGACCACCGTCAATCTCCTAAGGAAAAAGAGAGAGAATGTGATATAGAAATGAATTCTTTTCATTGGTATGGATTTTGGTTTATTGATACAAGTTTAAGGCCAATTTTCTTATAGGTATATGTCTACTCTTGTTTAGATACAGTGTTCATATTGCTCGTTTTTAAAATGTAATGTATAATCAAATACCATTTATAGATAGTCACCTATGATAGTCAAAATTTATAATCATGTTAGTTAGGTTTTCCAGATATATAGAGATATATTTCAAATGGATAAATATGCTTCAAACCTTTCAAAGACCTACAGAATATGACATTTAAAATGGACCAGGGTTTTTCATGACTATGAGACACCTACCTGTTCCTGGACACCTACCTGTTCCTTCATAGAGGAAGATGGACATCTAACAAACTCGATTTGGAAATGCTTTCAATATGGCAAGACTTCTCAATTGCTTTTAATTAATTTTAGCTGGAAATCTATTTTTTTTTGTTAGATACTAAGAGTGCTACACTGGCTTGTTTCCAAGGTCCATTTGATTACTCTGCGGTAATACCAATCTTTGAAGGTGAGGTGTGTTTCTTGTTGCAGCAGAAGGATTGTCCTTCCCAGGCAGTGAGGCTTTATTTATAGTCAATCAGATTTCCCTATAGTGAACTCCAAATTTCCTGAACCATCCATTTGTTTTATTGATGGTCATGACCCACAAGGATTATCCACAGCTTTGAAACATCCTCATGTTTCTTTACCCCAGTGCTCCAAGATCCTGTCTCAGCTGGGGATTGGCTTCTGCTCTGATTCCAGTAGAGCTATAAGAGGCAGGTGCTGAAGGTGCCTGGGAGGCATTCGGTAAGTCAGGAATTTGGGGAGCAATGTGGAAACCTATTACAGTGGAAACTCCCTGGAATCTACAAGAGTGGCCATAGTAAAGACTTCTAGTAGTGAAGGATAGATAGGCTGAGACACAGAAACCCATCTGGATACCCAGTCTGCCTTGTGTTCTCAATGTTTTGCAAACATAAAGCTTGCTCCCAGAGAGAAGGTGGCAGATATATCTCTGAAACTCTAAAATTACCAGGTGAGTGATGTGTGGGGAAGAAAACAAATCTATTCTTAATGGAGCCAACCATCAAAGTGCTGACCCAGGTCAAAGGTCCAGGATATGTCAGGAGTCTTCAATCCTGGATGTGTGGAGTCTTCAATCCTGGATGTGTGGGAGGAGGTGATCTGATTCCTGGATGGAGGCAGTGAGCTCTTTTGTCCTATGCAGGGTTTGCAGGAGTCTCAAAACCACATTCCCACTTCCTCCTTGATAAGCTGAGTAATTGCTCTTCCAATGTGCTCCTTGGGCTTTCTGAGACGCCTTGAGCCTCTATTTGATGGATTCCCCTTGGATATCATATATTTACCAAAGGGAACACATAAAGGGAAAAATGGAACATTATCCCCTGCCAAAGTACCAAACACAGTAAGATGAGAGGCAGTCTGGAAACACTGTGTCCGTGATTTTCTAGTCCAAGGAAAAAACAGGTGAAATAAGGCTACTAGATAAGGTCCTGGTTCAAGAAAAGTCTTTTCTGCCCATTTATTGTGTGTCCTGATGCCACATCTAGTGATCACTATGGGAACGACAACTCGTGTCTGGAAAGCTGTCAGATCAGCATAGCCTGTAGCCTTTTCCTGCAAGAGAAAATTCCCCGAGACGGATCTTCAGAAGACACTTGTCTGGAGGATCTGTGTCCCCTCTCCCTGTACTTGGTTGCCCTGGCCTTTCTGTGAAGTCACATCAACCCATTCAAATATATTAATAATGGGCCTGACACCTGCCCTGCTTAGCTGTCCCTCTTCAGTCTCTGGAAAAGATGTTCAGGGGACCTAGACTAATCATTTATTTCATGACAGTTCACTGGCTGGTTCCAAATGTGCAGGACTTGGGCTACTAAAAAGCATTGTTCCCTGGCATTGGGAAGTAAAAATCCAACCTTTGCAAAATGCTCCTCAGGGATAGCTAGAGTTGAATCTGGAGGAGAGGTCTGCAGCCAGGACATCCTGGGTCTCACATCTCTGTGAGGAGCTCAGATTTTCCTCCACCAGTACCGAAGTTGATTCCCTTTGGGTCTGTCTCAATGACATATTCCAGTGAGAACCTCAGAGTCTAGACATTACTGAGCATCTGTCCATCTGTCTGTAAAGTGAGGTCAAATGAAGGATTGTGACCTATTGCAATAACTCTACACCATGTGTGTCCTGCAATGAATACTCAGACAACAAAATGAGGATTCAGTGCACAGGAAGGAAAGCACTGGCCACTCTACTGTGTGTGTGTGTGTGTGTGTGTGTGTGTGTGTGTGTGTGTGTGTGTGTGTGTGATGGAATGAACCCCACCCAGAACCCAGAATTCACAAAGAATCACTTACTAGACACATGAAAGTACATGATGGCTCTTTGCATAATATCTCCATGTCTATTAAAGGTTCGAAGAGTATAGAATCCTGTGTTCTTCTCAGTGAAATTTGGGAGCAACAGGGATCCATCACAGTACACAGTCTCTCTACCACTTTGTACAGGCCCTGGCACACTTAAATTTCTGTTCATCATGTACATTGCAATTCTGTTGTTCCTAATTATCACCCCCTTTGAACCAGGCAAAGGCCGTAAGATTCTCTGGCAGATTGTGAACAAGAAAAAAGACATTTTCTCCTTTGGCCACTTGGGGAGGGACAGATTCAATGGTGATATTGGTAGAGGTAGAAATGTGCCAGCAAGTTAAAAGGGAGGCTAGAAGGGAACAGAGGAAAAAAACATCAATATTGAATGGGGATGATTATCACTCCACTCAGGTGTTTGGTTAGGGGTGTGTCCACCCTCCTTTTTAGACAAGAGAAACATGAATTGCATTGACTCAAAGCCTATGGCTGAGTCACTCAATCTTTAAGGAATCCTCTGTTCAGGTGTCTGCCTGGTTCCCCCTCAGTCACCCATATCCCTTCCCACATAGAGGACATGGGTGGAGCAATGCTTCTCTGAACTCCTCTCTGGAGGGTGCTCACTCACTTTCTGTCATTTTTCTCTGTCCCATTTGTGATTCCAGTCAACTCATGGCTTTATCTTGCAGATACCCTGACATCAGGTCCACTAGAGCCAGGGAATTGTGAGTAAATGAATTAGTGTGACCTTTTTTTGGACATTTTAGTTCTTAGAAAAGATTCAGAAAGAAGTGGATAAAGGAAAAAGAGAAGAAAGAAAAAAAGGAAGGAAGGGAGGGAGGGAGGGAAGGAGGGAGGGAGGAAGAGAGGGAAGAATGAAAGAAGGAAGGAAGGGATGTTTTCCATGGGAGTATCTACATAGTTCCCAGGTTTGGAGCTAATAACAATAATTATACTAAAGGTGATTTAAATGATTTTATTTTTACGTGTGGTGTGTGTGTGTGTGTGTGTGTGTGTGTGTGTGTGTGTGTGTGTGTGTAGGCAAGTGTCTGCATGTGCACAAGGAATGGTATTGCCAAAAATCTGCGTGGAGGAAAATGTCTCAATGTCTGAAAGTGTGGCCATATCCCAAAATACCTCTGTGGCTAAAAGAGTCTCAATGTGCCCAGGGAGGTGCATGCCACAGCACCTGTGTGGAGGGCAGAGAAGAACCTGGAGGGGTCCGTTCTCTCCATCTACCGTGAGCGAACAGAGAACTGAATCCAGGTTGTCATGTCTCTACACACTGAGCCAACTCAATGGTCCATTACTGTTTGATTTCTATCTGGAGAGTAACCCAATCATTGCTTCTCTGACTTTGGGCTAAGATCAAGTGGAGAGTCATCCAGTCATAGTTTGGGACATCAATCTTCAGGATATTGTGTCCAATGTAATGGACTGTGGATATGGTATTGAGCATACATCACCTCCTTTCTGCTGAGAGCTTCAGGCTGTACCTGCTGTCCTGTGGTCAAGGTACTGCCTTCCAGCCTGCCTCCAAGTTTCTCTCCACCCACACAGAGATTGAATACACTCACCTGTGAGTAAGAGCCCCTGCCAGGGAGTACACAGAGGACAACTCCATCTCTCTTCTCACTGTACTCCCTGTGGTGAGAAGAAAGGCAGCTCTATAAAGGCACTCAGTCTTTTACTGTTCTTCCTTCCTTTAAATTGAGTTTCCTCTCAGGCTGCAGAACTTCCCACCACCCATTGGGCTGTGAGTGATGGGGTTTGAATCCAAGGCACTGCTCAACATTTCTACTCCCAGTGCTACCACACATCCCTCTCAGCTTCCCTTTATATTTTTCCTACAAGCAACATATTGAGCAAGAATGCTATTAATCATCCCGTGGTCCTCAGAGAACAGTGGTTCATACCAGGGGTGACACCTGTTGTGTCTTTGCCTTGGGTCTGTCAGCACCAGAGGGGCCTCCATCCTGCCTATGTGTCCTTGTGACACAGAGATCCAGCTGAACATGCAGCCTGCCTTGTGTCATCAAAGCTCTGGGAATATGGTATTTTTATAATCCTGGGAGGAAGGTGACAGAGGCATCTCTAAAGGCTGGAAAGATATCAGGTACATGATGAATAGGGATAAAGATCAGTCACCAACCAAAGTTCTGAACTAGAAGATAGGCCCTGGAGCAGTTGTATAAGGATTTTCATGTGCTCAGTGTTTGGTAAGAGGGGACAAGATGACCAATTGTCTTTCAAAGTATTGAAGCCTCCATTTTACTATAAAGGTTTCAAGGCAACATTCCAGCAATATGTGTTAGCTGAGCTGTGTGTTGGGTGTGCAGATGTCCTTTCCAATCTTCCTGAGTCATCTTTGCCCTTTGCCTAGGTTATTCCCCGGTGGTAATCCTGTCTTCCCCTATAATAGATGTCAGGAAAGAGGGTACCTTCAGGTTTTCCATAGAGAAAGGTCTTCTCCGAAAAAGGAAGCAGCCAATAGATCTGAGCAGAGTCTACAGAGGGAGCTCGGAGTTTGTAGGGACAGGAACCATCCTGAGTGAGGTAACCCAGTCACAAAAAGACAAACATGGTATGTACTCACTCATATATGGTTTTTAGACATAGAGCAAAGGATCACCAGCCTACAATTCACACTGGCAGAAAAACTAGGATAAAAGGAGGAACCTAAGAGATTCATACAAGGTCCCTCACAGAAGGGGAAAGGAATGAGGTCTCCTGAGCACATGGGGAGTAGGGAACAGTGAGTGACTCTAAAGTCAAGCATACCATAGAGGCTAATGTCTCATTGCCTGGGAAGGTCCCCCTCCCCAGACAATTCTCCACTTCACATTCCAACACAGTCCAGGCTGATCTAGGAGAAACCTGACATGTGTACAGGGGAAGAAGATCATAGCTGGAATCATGGCACATACTGAAATTGAATTTCTGCCTCTATCCATAAATTTGAGCTTGATGTTGTCGCTTCAATGATCCACATTCTAATTTCTTTTCACTTTGGACCTATGGACACCGACAGCCAAGTTCTAGACAAGGGAGATTTAGGATATTCAGTTATTAGTAGTGAAATTGGTGCTAAAGTGCTCTTGGCAGGATACAAAGATTTCTGTTGAAATGTCACGAGTACAGAACACGTGGGTGGGAGTCAACATTGCAGGAGAGATTGAGGGTTGACTCTGGATGCAAATGAAATTCTAGAGAGATATGATCAGGTGATCTGAACCATCTGGAGCAAACAAAATAAAGCCACATTTGAAATCAAAAGGAAGGGGAAATTCTTTTCTGTAGATGGCTATAGTATCTGTGCAATAACCTTAGTTGAGAGGTTCCTCCAGAGCAGTGGCACAGATCAGTGAATGAGTACTCCAGTAGCATTAACAAGCCCTGACCCATCTCCAGCACAACACACAAAACAGCCGATGTACAGTCTCGTGTGTGCACTGAATCTGAGATGTCCCCTGTTTCTATCACCCTGAGCTGATAAGCAGGATACATCCTTCCAGCCCCTGACTAACCTAGGTGTCTCTGTGGTGGGTCTCTGTAGTGAAAGCAAGAAGGACCAAGGGTCCTGGATCTAGCCATCTGCGTTTAGGAAGGTGTAGTCATGGTAAAAAAAAATTAATAGCAGGTAATGTTCAGGTTGAATGGGTTTCTTGGGTACTCACTACATTGGAGATTTCACACTCAGAGTACTGAATCAACCATGGCATTCAGTAAAGTGAGAGTCCAATTGCTGTCTTATATTCAGCCTATCACCTTCTGAGACTCTTTGGCCATTTTTCATCAATGGGTAAAATGTATTATGACTCTCTTGTTCATGCTCTAAGGCAATCCTCCTCACCCTGCATGGTTAGAGTTGCTGCTTGTGACAATGAACCTGGGTATCAATACTGTGCAGGAAACAGAGGGTCTCCCTGTGGGACTTCTGACCCCACCAATGACCTCTTTCAACCAGTGTTGGTCTTTTTAAGCTCAACTCTCAGTCCATGTCTTTAGATAGCTAGGCAAAAGATGACTTACAGTTAGATGCTGAAGGGCCATAGTACTCAGAGATGGTGTGTTTCCTGTTCTGTGTGGGAGAAACCGTCTTTGCCATGTGTGAGTTGAGCTGCACAGCATGATGATATAGACCTAGGATCCAGAGTTAGATGCCCATTGCCTCTCCTGTTCCTCACTGACCAACTGCCTGCCTGTCACCAAAAAGTGCTGGGTTTCTCCTACTATGCTGATGTCCACTGCTGAGCCATGGAAGAATGCTGTCAAAGCCATTTTTTTTTCAAGGAAATCCTACATGTTAGACAGAATAAACTTCTGAAACACCCACAGGCTTCCCTCATGACTTTATATTGCAAAAAAAAATCACACATGAGACCAGGGGTGGGCTTGTTATTGAGACAACTTCCCAGGTTGCACCATAACGTGGGACAACCTTCTCGGGTGTTTGGTGATGACTGAGACCAGTCACAGGTCCTCAAAAGAAATGAGTCTCAGAATGATAAACAAAAAGCAAGGATATAGAGTAATGGCGAGCTTGAAACAGAACCATTGTCTTGATCTGTAATGTCCTCTCTTGCACAATAAGGACCATAGAGAGATATTGCTTGAAATTTAGGTGGTTGTGTTCTTCCCTCCTTCTTTTCTTCTTTCTTTTACTTCTTACTTTCTTTGTATGTGAATAAATTTTTACTGCATGTATATCTGTCCACTACAAGCATGCCTGGAGCTCACAGAAGACTCTGTTGACCCCTGAAGCCTTAAGGGAGACTTGGATTGCCCTGGAAATGGAATTACAGACTGGTAATGAGCTACCATGCATGTAATGGGAAGAGACCCTTATTCCTCTACTTGAATAATCAGTCCTTGTAACAACTCAGCCATATGTCCACACTCCGGGTGAATGTTTTCAGAAGCAAATCTAATTGATAGAAGGTAGTGAGCAAGAACTTTCTGGAACTCTGGCTGGAAGGGACAAGTGTGTATGGCAGATCTTGGCTAGGGATATGAAATGCTATCTTTCTCCATATGAGACAATTGTTATTAATATCAATAATCAGAGGACTGCTTCTCTGAAGAGAATAATGAGGTGTGATCAGAGACTGATGTTGATTTAAATGAATGACTATCTGAGCAGAGAGCCCTGTGTTAGATGCATGATCTTCTCTAAGGTAAAAAGCAAAGCCCTGTCCTTTGCCTTTTGGGAGTAGTGACAGTGGCAACCAGAAAACACATGATTTCCTGTATAATCGGTGGACTGGGGAGTCCTAGAATTTGGCAAGAATTCTCCATAGTTGAGTACTTTAGTTCTAGAGTCAAAAATAACTCTCCATGTGTTTTCATGACATAGAACAGACATCTCCTCAAGCTGATGATGGACATGATTAGCATCTGTGAAAAACAGCTGCTCCTGCTCCACATATCCCTGAGGCCTCCAGGATGAGGACACTGGATACGTGACTTACGCAGACAACTTCTCTATCACCCATGGCCTGTGGGACAGATGTATACACTCTGGTTTCTGTGAGTGACAGCACACATTGTCAATGAATGTTGCCATGGTGATAAGGTAACCTCAAATATAGACATGGCCCTGACACTGGGACAGAACAGCTATCCAGATCATCACTTGCCTACAGGAGAAAATTTGCCAGACTTAGTTCCTGAGGCTGTGGAGTCATCCAGAAAACCTCTGGCTGCTGCCTGTACCCTTGGGGATCTTCACAGTCCTGTAACACCTCGTAAGCCTACAGAACAGTTTGTTAACAGTGTGAGCACTAGTGAGGCTGGGTTCTCCATGCTGAGTCTCAGAAGGAGATGCCCAGGAGATTAGTGGATGGTCAGGGACTGTGTGGAAGCCCCTGTAGCTGGAGTTAAGTGAGGTTTTAAACATCTTCACATAGATGCTGGGAACTGAACTCAGGTACTCTGCAAGATCAACGTGTGCTATTAAACATTGAGACATCTCCCCAAGCCTCCTTCCTCAATTTCTTCTTTATTTCCTTTGTGGTTCCAGTCAAACCCTGAATTCACCTTCTACATGCCAGTCTGCTTCCTTGTCCATTGCAATTATGGCTTTGTGAGGACAGAATGTCCCTGCTGTATTGGGACGTTCCAGTGCCTGGTAAAAGCTCATACTCCTGGGAACAAATGAATTAATGAATGATAATTTGAAGGAATCTCATGTTGGTAGATAACAAGATAGGCTAATATCAGATTTTGACATTAAATTTGAAGTTACTTATGAATTTATACATGTGGAAAGAGGTGGGGAGAGAGAAAGGATGTGTTTACCCATGCATACCTCAGTGTATGGGTAAGAAAATGCTACTGTACATATATTGAGGTTAGACTATAAGAGGTAATTGGTTCTCTAACTCCATGAAGTTGAATCTGAGAATTGAAGTCGGCTTGGCAGCAGGTGTCTTCACACACTGAACGATCTTCTTGGCACATCCCACTCACCCTGTTACAGTTGGGAACATAAGTTTTCACTAAATAGTGACCAATGAGAATAAACTTCGATAGAAAATGATCTGGTTCTTTCTTTCCTAACTCCTTCCCATCACCAAGTGCATCCTGCTACTAAACTTCTGTCCTTCTCTGCCCTCTTCTCTTGTGCTGTGAGAGCAAAATCCTAGTCTCCTTTCACGTTCCTATCTGAGTTTCCCTCCTACAATCTACTGTGAAGCCACGGTCTCTACAACGTTGTCAGGACACAGGTATAAGGCTTCAGGCCAGGGTCCCACAGCCTTAGTCAGGCCCCAACTCCTGCAGCTCACACTAGGACAGAGTGCAGGAACTGTCTCTGCTCTGACCCAGATGCTTTCAGTTTGCAACACCTGGCTCCTCCGTGGTCCTTACAATACACTGAGCTAAATACATGGTGTGAAACTTCCCTGTGCTCCTGTAATATTATAAAAGGTTAGATCTTCCCTTAATTCCAGAGATTGAGAGAGGACTGCTCAGTGGTGCTGCCTAGAAATGGGGACTGTTATCAGAAGACCTCCCTTCATGATCACTACCATGGCGGCAATTTCTTTTTCTTTTACTCTCCCTAGCTCTCTTTTGTTTTCACTCATTTTTAAAGATTTGTAAAACATTTCTAGAATTTACTACATGCTTAATGTATTTACATCATTTGAACACCTCAGTTTCACCCTCTACCTCCTCCCATGCCTCCCACTCCCTAGCTCTCAAATTCAAAATTGTGACTCTTTTGTAATTACTATTATCGTTAATACTTGTGTTTATAGCTGACCATTTGTGATTGGCTAATCTATCAGGGGCTCATCCATGGAGAAAACAGATTTTTCCCTCAGCACTCATTAACTGCTGTAGCTTTTTACTTTGGGTGGATCCCTGAGAGATTTTTTCATGCATGGTAGCATGCAAGATGTGTTGTCAGTGTTTAGGTCTTGTTTGGACAGCCACGTATTTGAGAATTTTTGGGTGCAGCTTCCTTGTCATATATAGAACACACAACCTCACAGTAAACATCCTGGTCCTCTGATTCTTATAGTCACTGTACCTTGTCTTCTGAGATAGTCCATGAACTTCAAATGATGGGGTTGTAATACAGATAACTAAATTGGGGTTGAACACCCTGTGATGACTTTGTTCTATCTATTTGGAGAAGTTTTAGATGTCTTTTATAGTCTCCACCTGTGCAAATAGAGGCTTCATTGATAACTATGGGAGCTACACTTAACAGTATGTGTAAAGATGTATCCTAAAAGTTTATCTAGAAATTATACTGGTTAAAGAAAGTGGCCATAATATATCCTGCTCTGGGTTCCATGACCTCACTAGACAAATGTAGTTGTCTAGGATTCCAATATCAGAAATATTTCCCTTCCTGTCAAGCAGACCTTAATTCTAATTAGAGAGTTGTTGGTTATCTCCAAGATATGAGTGCAGCTTTTGGACACTGAAGGGTATCATACCATGCTATTCATTTCTGTGATTTGTAGACATCACGTCCGAGGAGGGCTATTGATTATTTCCCTCAGTTTACTTCAGGTTCTACATTCTGCATTCTGTGGGTTTTGAGAATCCAGGGCAGTGCTCATTCAGGGTTCTGTATCATAAAAGACACGTTGGGAGAACACAGCACAGGGCAACCTTGGGTTGAGCTGTTGTTGCCCTAGGGCACAGAGGTGATTATAAGCCTTGTTGCTCAAATTGAAAAGGAGTGGAAATTGTGGAAAGCCCTGTCCTATTCCTGGGTTTAATGAGATTGTGTCCAGTGTTTCTCTCTTTTGGATGATATTGAGTGTGGCCTTGTCATATGTAGCCTTTATTATAGGTACAGGTTATAGTATAGGATTATTCTCAGGTATGTCTATGAACATTGGAAAGGGATCAACTGAGTGATACCTAGGAAAGAGGACAGACCCGTTATCAATGGAGTCACCAGTCAGGGTGCATTGTCATGGAGGATTGTGTGTGAGAAGATTCATATGAGTGTAAAACAGGAGGCTCTAAGTCCTAAGGATAGGACTACATCCACCTAGAAAGATTTTCAGAGGAACCCTCTAACTTCCTGTGGTGGCTGAGCCATGCCTTGGATTTCTCCATGCCTTTCCTGGAATGTAGCTAACCTCTGTCTAGGTGAGGTTTCTGGACGGAGGAGGTGGAAACCAAGACCCTCTGGTAGAGTAGTATGCTTATAAAAATGGGAGCGTCCACCATGTCTTTCCAATACTTTGGGAGTATACAGCAGGTGGCAACTAGTATTCAATAGGTCTACCCATCAGATTAATAACTCTACATGATGGGAAGCCCAACTTGGAAAAGACCTTAGTATCACTGACTGTGAATGACCAGTTGTTTTTTTTTTTTTCTGTTATTTTTCTCATGTGCCACTATATTTATTCCCTAAAAACAGCTATGGGGTTTTTTCCCACTGTTTGTTTGTTTATCTAAAGTATATATCCTGTCTTTGGGCAAACATATAGCTGTGGCTGATCAGAAAGATGATCTCGGCTTAAGTGTACAATTTTGATGAATAGAAATAATACTAAGATATTTTTCATTATTCAGACTGAAATAGGAAAGTAATAGTATTCTCAGTCATACAGATGATAATTTTAGAATTCAGAATAAATTCAAACCAAAGTGGTTGTTGCTGAAAACAATAAGCAAGGACAAGTTCTTAGGTGTTTATTGCTGATTCAAGGATAGGCTTGAATCAACTCTGGTAGACATAATCCTCTGCAGTAACTTTGAGTAGGGAACAATCTGGTATTTCCCCCTCCTCTCAACATTTCCTGCTCACCAAGAGCTTCTTGATGTTGAATTGTTGCCCCATTTTGTCCTCTCCAGGTACTCTGCGAGCACAGACTCTGAGTCCCATCTCAAATTCTTATCTCAGGAAATTACAGTTATTCTTTGAGTTCCCCTTTTCTTGTCTCCTGCAGTCAGTGCATGGTCACCTCACCTTTGTGTTAGGACACAAGTCTACAGCTTTAGGCCCAATTCCCATGCCCTTAATCAAGCCACATCACCTGCAGTTTACTCTAAGCAGAGTGTAGGAGCTATCTGTGCTGAGACCTGACTAGATACGTTTCACAATACGTGGCTCCTCCATGCTCCTTGTCATATATGATACACTGAACTGTATTACATGGTGTGAAACACGCCAGCACTGCTAAGAGATTATGAAAGATCCAACCTTTCCTTTCTTCTAGGGATCAGGAGAATACAGCTCAATGATGTTGCCCACAAATGGAGGGTGACCTTAGAAGAATGTAGTGATATTTTGTTTATGATATAACAAATAAAGCTATGACGATCAGAGTGTGAAGTTAGCCACAGTGTTAGAAGCCACACCTTTAATCCCACCACGTGGCAGAGACAGACGGATCTCTGTTAGTTCAAGGTCACCCGGAACTACACAAAATTGACCCAAAGTAAAAGAGAAACTGAGCTCATACAAGGGTGATCTCATCTCTTGGGATCCCATGTGTTTAATCCCAGCACTACAGATGAATACAAGGTTTGAGAAGGCGAGAGCATAGTGAGTCTGAGGAGCAGTGTAGCCAAGAGAAGTCTAAGGTTCAGTGTATTGCCTCCAGTCTGGGCGTTGGTAGAGATGAGAATCCTCTAGTTGCTGACTACATTGCTTCCCTGATCTTCAGTTTTAACATCAATATCTGTCTCTGAGTTTTTATTATTAATACCAAATAGGATTAGTGCTACATCTAACCCCCAACTTTCAGGGTTCACATTCATGAAAAAGCCACTTGCCTGTGGTTTACAGCTACCAGTCCAGGCTGGAGCTGCAAATGGGGCTCCCACATGGAGTCACTGCCCACCCGGCTAGATTTTCTTTCCTTACTTTCCCCAAGTGAGCCTGAGATTTTCAGGTGTTAGCCTCTAAAGCAATCTCTACCAACTACCCAAACTCCAGAAGCACCTGGGCTCCAAGCGCCACAGAATATATCCTACCTAGACCTGCTGGCTTTGAGTTCAGGCAGGCAACTCCCACCACATGATTTTCCACACAATCCCACCTGCTGCTTTTCAGACAGCCATCTCTGTCCCTGTTTCTGCCTCTGTCTCTGTCTTTGTCTCTCTCCCCACCATAGGTGGCAGGCTTTCCCTACAACCATTTTCCTTGGGTTGCCTCTCTCAGCTCATGGCTAAATGCTATGCCTGACAGTTCACTGACATTTTTGGCAGATTTGGTTAGACAATTAGGAATTCTTTTGTTCTTGTTGTTGCTGCTGCTGCTGTTTTTGTTTGTTTGTTTGTTTGTTTTTGTTTTTTCAAGATGAGGGTTCTCTGTGTCGCTTTTTATATCATTCTGACTGTGGACTCACAGAGATCAGCCTACCTTTGCACCCAAGTGCTGCAGTTAAAGACATGCACTGCCACCACCTGGCTCAGTAGGGAATTCTTTTTTTTTTTTCTTTTCTTATTTTCATATGGATCCCAGTTCCCTCTCCCTCCCTCTCTCGCTCCCTCCCTACTTGCCTCTCTCTCTCTCCCTCCCATGCCCTCTGACCACCCTCCCATCCCATCCCCTCCCCACTCCACAGGGAGGGTGATACCTTCCAGGAGGGGTCAACAAAATCTGTAAAGTAATTTGGAGTAAGGACTAGGCCCTCCCTCCTGCCTCTAGGTTAAGGGAGTATCCCTTCATGGGGAATTCTTAAAAGAAGGAATTAGTTAAAAAGAGAGAGTTTCGCCACACATTATAAACTGGGAACCACTATTACAGTAGATTTAGGTTTCTGTGTGATAATAAGATGGGCAGTTTGAAAATGGAACAACTGAGTGAGGATTAACTAATTCAGATGGATTCGTGAAAGGTCAACTGTAAACATTCTCAGTTCTATGATTTTTGTTTTACCGATAAAAATCTGGTTAATCTTAATGCTAACACACAAGTTTTAGAAAACCTTAATAAAACAGATCAGAGTGATATTCAAATCCAGCAGAGGAATTTGATAGAGAACCAGACTCAGCATTGCAATATGTTAGAGAGGAATGGCCTAGGGTTTTCAAACAAGCAAACAAGCAACCTTAATATATCAAGTAACCTTACAGGGATTTCCAAGTGACAGAGACTCTATAAGAACTGATTGGACCCCTGTGCCAATGTTAGGTTTAAGGAGAGTCAAGGAAGTGGTAGTCTCGTGTGGTATGTGATCACCTTTTGTGAAGCAGATGATAGACTTGTGGTCAGTTTGTAAAAGAATTATCCCTTGAGACTTAGTTAAAGCAGTTTTGGAGCCTGGTCATCAATTACAATGGATGACCTGCTTCAAAGAAGGGGCTAGGACAACTGAACAATCAAATAGAGCTAGAGATTTAGAATTCACCCAAGACCGACTTCTTGAAGAGGGAGATTATGCTACTATAGAAAGGCAATCTCTATATGGTGATCATGCTGTGTGGCCATGCAGTAGCTTTGAATGCTTGGGACAGAATTCAAGAACTGAGGAAGAACGTTGTGTCATTTACTAAATGTATACAGGACCTGAAAAAATTTTTCACTGATTTCTTACAAAGACTGACATCAGCAAGAAATAAAATGATGTCAACTTCAGAAGCTAGACAAAAAATAATTGAATCTCTAGCTTTTGAAAAATTCTCATTCTCAATGCAAGGTCAGCACCTTTGGAGGAATGGATCTGAGATGCAATCAATATTGAATCTCATGATCATGATGATGCATGGATAGGAGAGGTGAGTTCCAGGTGTTTGAAGAAAAATCAAAATAGCAAATGTTTTACTTGTGGCAAACATGGTCACTTTAAAAGGGACTGTAAACAGAACCTTCCTAGAAACAAATTTTTTTCCAATAATAATTCAAACAGAACACCCCTCCCTTCTGGATTATGCAGAAGGTGTGGCAACAAGAGACATTCAAGGTAACAGTTGGCCATCTGGAAACTCTTTGAGGGTCCTTTTGCAAATCCCTATGCCAAATTTGATTCAAGCATTTCTTATTGTGGAAACTCCTTCCCAGGGCAATTAAATAACCTAATACATACTGTAAGAAACCATTCAGCTCTTCATGATAGAACAGCTATAGAGCAGAGAAAAGAAACTTCAGGAGAAACCAAAAAGTGGGTATTTTTGCAAAGACCATCATTACAAATATGAATAAATGGAATAATCATTGAAGGTCTTGTAGACAATGGTGGAGATGTAACAGTAACTTCATCAGAATTTTGACATCCAAATTGTCCTCTTTAGGAGGTAAATGTTCAACTTTTAAGGACTGGAACTCTATCTCAGGTAAAACAGCATGAGATGGATTGAATGTATAGAACCAAAATGACAGAGAGGAAAAATTAAGCCATTATGTTGCTAACATAGAAATGAATTTGTGGGGACATGATTTGTAACAGCAATGAAATACTCAGATTAAAATTCCCTCAATCTTAGAAGCAAACCATAAATTAACATATGTTTCTAAGAAAAAGTATTTCAAGCTGTTATAAAGAAAAGTCACCCACCGACCATTCAGGTTGTACAAGAACAGGGTACAACAGCTTCTGATCCAAAGAAATTATAAGTAAATGTCCTACTTATTGTTACACAACCAAACTCCACTGCATATAGGAAGTAACCAGAAGGATGCTCAAAGGAACAATATCTGGCAGATGAGGTGTTCAATTTTACAGAACTTGGAAAAGTAAAATATGCATACTACAACATCGGTAACCATTCAGGGCTTCTTTGGAAACTTCTTTTAGTTCATAAAATGCTGAATTAGTAATCACACATTTGTGAGAAGTTATGGCCATCATGGGAATATCTGTACAAATAAAGGCAGATAATGACCCAGCATATGTCTCTAACAAAATGAAATATTTTTTGCTTATTATAATACAAAGCATATTACAGGTATGCCATACAATCCTACAGTCAGGCAGTTACATTAACATCAATCTGAACTCCAAAGAATATGCTAAATAAATAGAAAGGAATAATAAAGTCTCCCAAAAATATATTGCATAACATTTTATAAACTTTGAATTTTCTAAATGCTAATGAGAAAGGAATAGCAGCCGTTTATAGAGAGGTTGGATAATAGAAAAATAACTATGAAATTAAATCAGCTGGTATACCTCAAAAATGAGTTGACTTCAGAATGGAAACCAGGACATACGTTATATTGTGGAAGGAGTTTTGCTTTTGTTTCCACTGGTGAAAAAAAAAAAGCTATATTTATCATCAAAATTGATAGATTCAATTTAATAAGAGTGACCTCATAATTAGAAGAGATGATAGTTCATCAAGCAGCATGGTCATTTAATATAAACTAACCTGTAAAACTAATAAATGTTTTCATTTGATCAGATATAACTTGCCAAAAGAAAACTGCCAAAATAGTAGGGTTGGGGAAGGACTTTTATTTTGATTTTCAAGCAGAATATAGACATCCAGTTAAGGAATCAGTAGACCATTGAACACACCAGACATCTCAAGAAAAAGGAAAAATCATCTAGAACAAAATGTGATGGTGATGTCCTGCTATACATAGGTTTCTCTTATTGGTTGATGGAAAAACACTGGTTGGCCATGCAGAAAGATAGGCAGGACTATGAGATAAGGAGAATTCTGGAAAGTGTAGGGGGAGTGAGACACCATGTGAGACTGAAAAGGGGTAAAAAGTCTGCACTCTTCTCCGGTAAGATAAGACCATGTGGAAATACTTAGATTAATAAAAATGGGTTAGTGGTTAGGACAGAGCTAGCCAATAAGAAGCCATCAGCCAAGAGTTTCATAAGTATATAGCATCTGTGTGTTTATTTGGGGCTCAAGGGTGATGAAACGAAGCTGGGACAAATA